TCAGTGGTTGAGCATCTACCAATGAACCAGGAGATCACAGTTCGATTTCCTGGGTTGTGGGCTCAATCCCCAGTGGGAGGCCTTTGGGAGGCAGCCGATCGATGATGCTCTCTCATCATTGATGTTTCTATCTCTCACTCCTCCCTTCCTCTCGTAAATCAATAAAAATACATTAACTTTTTAAAATAGTAAAGCCCATTTTTAGCTCAGAGACGTGACAGAAACAGGTGACAGGCTGGCTGTGACCTGCTGAGCCCTGCTCTAACCACGTGAGCATAGGATCCACACATCTGCTTGGTGTCTTGGTTTGCTTTCAGAGGCCTTCTCGAAGGAGCATTTCTGAAGGAGCAACGCTTCCTTTGGCCTCAGTCTCGAACCCATTCTCTCTTAGCTTATGTAACGCCGACCTTCACCGCCACTCGGTTTGGTGGAAGAGCCCCCACGGCGAAGGCTGCTTTAAGACTCCGCACTGAAAGCAACGCGCTGAGTGGTTCCGTAGGTGTGCAATCTCGAAAACTGGGCAGAGAGATAATGAGTCTGGGGAGGAGCGGTTTAGAAACAGTTCTAATTGTGCAGGCAGGTTATTTTTACCAGCCTTCTTCTTATTTTTATAGATTACATTTCAAAAAGCTCTTCTGCTAAGAGCGATTAAAGACCAAGTTTTAATTTCCCTCCAGGAAAAAGTTCCATTGCGTTGGGATATTTTTCTCCGTCATCTACTAGAGGCTGGAACGCAGCGCTCAGCTCCTCGCTGCACAGCAGGCAGGCGCTTCTGCTAAAGGTTTGGGGAAGTGGGAGGAATGCAGGGAAGTGAGAACCATAAGAGACCCTTGGTGGTGACTATATTAAAAATACATAGTGTGGTACGTAATATAGATAAGGTTTTCTTATAAAATTAGTGGTGAGAACAAGCACTCGAATAGATTATTGTCACGGAGAAGAATTTCCCACAGTGTCTACTTTACAGAATTGGGAGCCACCTGACGATCGCAGTAACGGGGTGCCCAGTGCGGGCCTAGGTTGCACCCGTTTCCTCTCCAGCCTCATTGTAGGCAAGACTCAGGGATGTCTATGCTCAAGGTCACATAGCTGACAAGTGGTGGAGCCAGATTTCAGGTCTGTCTGTCCATAGAGCCCTCTGCACGCTCCCACACTGTAGCCTTTTCCAGTCTCACTGCAGGGTCTGAGCTGAGGTGCCCTGGAGCCCGTGACACCCATCCCCTCAGGATCACTTAATCTTGCCGTCAACCTAAGCAAACTATCCATGTGCGGGTGGCTCCAGGTCTTCCTTAAGAGAATTCGTAACTAAAGTTCCAAGTACATCTGTCATTAAAAAATATTTCTCCAAAAACATATGGTCAATTGAAGAAGATTCAATTCTGGAGACATTCATTCACCTGGGTTTCAGCGGGCTTGAGGGTGTTCTGGGTCCCCTGAAATGTTATGCAGAACACAGTACATGTATACACATGTATGTACATATGCCTTTCTTGGGAGAGGGTTTCTAATTTTAGTGGGATTCTGGACCCACTGCTCCCTAAACTCAATTGGAGCCAGTTAGGAATATACCTAATTGACTCTCTTGATATTGACAAACGTTTGTTAATTGTGTCAAATTTCATCACAACAAAGGAGGTTAAATTGATCGTAGTCCCACAGTCACCTGAACAAAGATGGCACTGTCATTCCACGTGACACGGGGTGGACACCACCAAGGGACTGGTTGGGCTCCAGTTTCAGCCGTGGACACAGAGCAATGCAGTTGTAAGCGCCTAGTAACGGCCTGCGGGTGGGAGGGGATGATGGCCCCTGTGCACACCTTGCCTGCGTCAGTCACTCCAGGTGCTGGGAGGGCCAGTGACTGGTGTCCTAAAAGGAAACACCTGTGCCCACTCTGGGCTTTCTAGCTGCGGACCTTAGTCAAGCCTCTCTCTGCCTGTTTCCTCCTTTGTAACAACAGGGTCAGCTGTGGGGTTGGTAAAATCTCTCCCACCTCCACAAGTACCTGGAGTCTCACGTTTGGCTAAACCCAACGGCAGAGAGCTGGGAGGGGCGTTGGAATGAGCTAGAGCAGTGGTTCTCAACTTTGGCTGCACATTAGAATCATCTGGGAATCTTTTTAAAATCCTGATTTCTGGGCCTCATCCTCCGGAAATTTTGTTTCTTTGTTACTAATGTGTGGCCCCACCCCATAACAAAGAAACAGAATTTCCGGAGAATGAGTCCCAGAAATCAGGATTTTAAAAAGATTCCCAGGTGATTTCTAATGTGCAGCCACGGTTGAGAACCACTGAGCTAGAGCGTGGCTGTAAATTGCGCAGGGCAGAGGCTCTGTGAAGGCGGTTGGCCGCAGTTGTGGATTCCTTGATAATCATCTCCGGCCAGGGCAGTGGGGAAGTAATGGGGCGCAGGCTGGTTCGGGGGACAGGCGCGGGGAGGAAGTGGGCGTGGCGGCGTTCCTGACTTCCTTGTTTGGAGTAAACTTCGGCGGCATCTGCCCGGCTCCGCTGTTTGCTTTTCCATCTGCTGATGTGCTTCCTGGGAGCGCTCCTGCCTGCCAGACAAAACATCTAGAAGCACGACGCCAACTCCGAGCCATTCCCTTGGGTCCCCAAACCCCACCAGCCTCCAGGGAGGGGCAGGCGAAGCCCAGAGAGAACGCAGCCGCGCCTGCAGCGCGCGGGTTGCAGCGGCTCCCCGAGACGCGGGTGGAAAAGACGCGGATTTCGGCTCCCACGCACCGTGCGCGCCTCCCCGTCTCCGCGCCCCCGGTTTCTGGAAGTTGGCATTGGAGATGGGGCGCTTGCCGCGCTGGCTGACTCCGTGGTGCGCCTAGTGCATTAGCTGACTTCGCGCTCGCTCGCTCGCTGCAGCCGGAGGCGCCGGACCTGCGGGGACAGCGCGGCGGCCGGGGGCGGGGACCGGGCTGAGCGCGGGGAGTGGGCGCCGGGCTGCGTGCACCACCGCTGGGGGGTCCGCCACGCCAGCGGCCGAGCCATGACGGACGCCAGCAGCAAGAAAGAGGGCTTCAAGAAGTGCCGGAGCGCCACGTTCAGCATCGATGGCTACAGCTTCACCATCGGTGAGAACTTTCCACCCCCCCCCCCATCCACTTGGCTTGGGCCAGGACCCTTTCGGGTGGGGGCGAGGGTGCTGTCCAAGTGAGGGGGGGGGGGCAGGCCGGCTGCGAGGCGCTCGACAGGCGGGGGCCCGGGGAGCGGCGACAGGGCCGGGGAGTCGCGCGCGTGTGGCCGCGTCGCGCGTGGGGTTGTCCCCGCGGCGCCCCCTCACCCCCGACTCGGAGCCCCTCCAAAGCTGTGTCAGAAGCACACCTCCTGAAGGGCCCGTTCCTCGCTGGGATTTTAGGAACTCAGCTCGGGAGGGGATAGAGACTGGGATGGAGGCAGAAAGATGGAAATAGAAAAAGCGAGAGGGAGCTCAACGACAGAAAGACAGACAGAGGGCCACCCGGAGAGACAGACTGACAGGCACCTGGACAGAGACATTAATGGAAACAAGACACCAGGTCGGAAATACAGAGGCTAACGGATGCCAGGCAGACAACCATAGAGGAGTGGCAGATGGGGGACAGTGATGGAGCGAGAGGTGCACAGGGTGGGAGAGACGGGCATGGACATAGGTCCAGACAGAGAGACTGGATGAGAGTTTCTGCAGAAGTTAGAGAGAGAGAGAGAGAATGCAGGCAGGGAGGGATGTACCTGTTAGTGAAATACTGGGGGGAAAGCCGTCTCCTGTCCTCTGGGCCCCCAGTGGCTCCGGGTCCCCCCCCCCTAAAGCCGTCACCAGGAGGGCACCAGAGGGGCCGGGGTAGCACTGTGGCCATCAGAAGGAGCAGGAACAGGCATTCTCTCTGGAGGATTTCTAGAAGCGCAGTTGCTTGGCCCCAGATTATGTGTAGTTTTAGGGATTTTAAAACATTGCGTAACTACCCTCTGGAAATACCCGCTCACTCTCACCAGCAAGCCATCAGGTCACTCACATGCTCTAACGAGGACGGGACACTATAATTTAAAACCAGCTGCTGGTCTGCGAGGCGGAAGGTCGTATCTCAATGCCACACGTCGTTCACTTCTGTTGTAAAACTCCTTTTTATGCTCTTGGCCTGTTTTTCCTCTGGGAAGTTTACCATTTATTAATTTGCAAGTACTCTTAATGGATATACTAGATATTAATTACACATGTAATCAATATATTAATTATATAATTATAACGACTAGATATTAATATAGAGGATGTAATTACTATGTTAGTCATAGAATAATTATGTGATAATATATATTAATATGTGCATGTAGACACACAGGTACTTATGTCTGTGCGCTGTGTGTATGTACCTTTCAAGTGCTGTCTGTCACGTATTTTACAAATATTTCTCCCAATGCCGAGGACTCTCACTCCCCCATCATCAGTGCTTGGCCCTAGCGGCCAGGACTTGCTCTGAGATCATACAGGTGTCTTGTTGCTCACACCTGTGGCCCAGCTGGCCGCACGGCTTCTGCAGGGAGGTGGTGGGAGGACAGTCCCCCTCCTGCAACGCGAGAGAAGAAGCCTGGGGAGACCCCGGTGGTCCCCCGAGCTCCCCCTTTCTCAGGCGTCTGACACTTTGTCATCAGGAATCACTTCCCCGTCTAGGCTGTTAGTTATGCCGAGTCCTGGTCAGGCACGTCACTGAAGGAATTCACAGGATGGTTCTGGCAGCTTCAGCATCTGACCAGGGGAGGCCTGTGAGGGCAATGGGGGTGTGGGGGCCGCAGGAGGGGAGTGTGGCCCACCCTGTGGCAAGGTCAAGGAGAAACTTCTCTCTGAGAGTGGACATGTCTGGGCTAAGAGGAGGCATCACTCCGGGGCAGGGAGAGCCTTCAGCTGCGGCTCTCAGCGGGGTGATACTCCCCAGGGTGTATCATACGGGCACGTTGGTGGTCACCAGGCTGGGGCGCTGGGGCAGGCTCTACAGTGCACAGAGGTCAGAGGAATTAAATGCTTTGCAGGGGCAGGGGGAGGAGGGGATGGCCCCCCACAGTGAGGAATTACCCTAAACACCAATAGCACCCCCACGCCCCCATGGAGAAACACTGGGGGGTCCCTCTGATGTGCAAGCCTGACTGGCCCTGCACTGGCTCCTGAATGGCCTAGGCCCTGGCTGCAGGTCAAGGTCAAGGTAGCATCAGGGTATGGAGCAGGCGCTGAGCTGGGTGCTTTACTCAGCCCATCCAGTCGTCTTTCACCCCAACTCTGAAAGGAGCTTAAATGACCCCAATGTAGGAGAAGAAACTCCTAAGACCGGACAGGAAGTAATTTCCTGAAAGTCACAGCAGAGTGGGGTTCGAGCCTGGCTGCCCTGACTCGCAGCCCAAGGTTTGTCCAAGGCTGTGCTGCCGCCCACAATGGACTTTATTTCTGTCCGAGCCTCTGACTGTTCCTCAACTCCATGGAGAGAGATGGGGCAGTTTCTGCTAAGCCAGCGCAGCTGGGCCATTGCCACCAGTGGGGCGGGTGCTGCCGGCAGGATAAGGTTGAAGAGCTGGGTTTGCTAATCTGCCTCCACGGAGGCTGCCTGCTCAGGCCTGGGCCCCCCTCTGTCCCAGGACCCGTGGCTTCTATATATCATTTCCTCAGGCCCCGAGGTCAGGCTTGTGTGCAGAGATCATAGAAACACGACTGTGAGGTTGTACGTGTGCCACACCCAGAAAGTGCTGACAGGTAGCCTCCGAAGTCTGGGAGTTCCCTCCCCAGGAAACCATGGAACTAAACTGGTTGTAACACTTAGCAAAGTGAGGGGCCGGTGGGGGCGGGAGAGCTGTGCACCATTGTTTCCAGAGCGTCCCTGTCCTCTGGGCTTCGGGGGCCTCTTTCTTTCTCCATGAGGCTGCCCGAAATACGAAACACAAAGCACGTCTTTTTTCTCTTTAATTTTATGTATTCAATTGACTGGGGTGACATTGGTCAACATGAACATAGAGGTTTCATGTGTGGATTACCACCTGAGGGGGCCTCCTTTTACAGCTGAGAAAGTGGGGCTCAGGGAGGGCCCTCATTCCCATCTCCCCCCTGTGATGACCTCCAGGGGTCAGGAGGATGGGAAGTTGGTGGCATAGAGCAAGGAGCCGCTTCCTTCAAGAACGAACCTGGCCCAGGATGTTGTGGAAAATTCTAGGCCCGTACTGAAGAGGTGTTGCTAACAGAGGGATGCGTTTCCTGTAGCAACGGCCCCTGGCTCCCCTGCCGCCGTGTTCTTCTCTGTGAGATGGTCCCAGAGGAGGAAAAAGAAGGGGCCCTGAGATAGAGATCGGAGACCCCAGGGGCTGGGGTGAGGGTTCTCTGCCCCGCCCTTGGACTGTGGGGAGCTGGGAAACCACGCTGAGGGGGCAGGTCTGCTGGTGGCTACTCCTCCCAGAGGGGTTCGGGGTGGACAGGGCTGGGGGTGGCCCAGGCCAGGGGGACTTGGCTGCAGGCACTGGGGGTGTGGCCCCCTCTCCAGCCCAGGCACGGAGGCTGGCCCTGGCTGGGGACTTGCTCACCCCAGGTGCATGTGGCTGAGGACTTGCTCAGCCCAGGCTGTTCTTGGTGCTCTCGGCCAAGTGCCTTGTCTGTGTGGGTGGAGGCGAGACCTCTGGGCCTTGTACACCTGAGTGGGGGTGAAGGTGGGGAGCACAGAACGGAATAAGGGTGTAAGTGAAATATTCTGCAGCCACCTGCCAGTACCAGTTCCCGGGCTCCCCGTCCTCCTCACATCTCTCCGAGGACTGGAGCAGAGTGTGGCAGGAGGGGTCGTCAGACGTCACGGTCCTTGCTCTGACATTCACCTCCGCCTCCTAGTCCCCATCCTGCCTCTTAGTCACTTCCCCTCTCTGAGCCTCAGTTTCCTTATATGTGAAGCGGGGGCATGACCCTCAGTTACAGAGCTTGGGCAGGGTCAAGTGCAGCGCAGGGAAGTCTGCTTTGTTACCTCTGAAATGCCTTTAAAATTGCCGTTTGTTATCAGGAACACTAATACTTAATAGTTGTTCAACGAGGCTTCAGCTTGAGGAGTGAGGCCGTCACCAGGGGCCGTGACGGTCAGCCAGGGATCAGAGTGCACAGCTGTGGGGCGCATGCCAGCTGGGAGCTCGCATTTGTGGGGGGACTCTGGGCTTTGGAGCCCCACAAAGACCTGTCGTGCTGGCTGTTGAGGTATTTAGCTCCTCTGAGCCTCAAATTCCTTCTCCAAGTAACGGGCTGGTGAGCCCTTCCTCCTGGGTGGACCATGGCCAGGAGAGCGAGCGAGGTGCCACGCACAGTGCCTGGCTGTTACCTTGTGGGTGTTTGCCCAGGGTCTGCTCCCGTGACCTGAAATCACACTGTGTCAGAGCTGGTTCTGGTGGGAGTGGGCGAGGGTCGTGGTGTGACCCTGAGGGTTTGTGGGTCACTCTGGGGCAGGTGAACGGGTGGCCCTGCCACCCTGCACATCCGTGCTGGCCCCTGACGCCAGATGGGAGCAAGAGCAAAGTGTGCCCGGGCATCCTGCTGCTCTCCATGGGCTCCTATGCCTCTGGCCACATAGGGTGCCCGGCGTGGCCACCCAGCCTCCACAGACCTGGGCGGAGCCATGGGCAGAGTCCTGAGGAGGGGCTCTGGGTGGCTCCTGACGGCTCCTGGACAGAAGAGCGCTGGTCACCCGGCAGGCCGAGCCAGAATTAGAATCTTGACATTTTCAGCCAGTCCTCCTGCCCCCACCTTCTCCAGAGAGGGGAGAAGGGCTGGAAATGGAGTCTCCATAAAACCCCCAAAGGGTGGGGTTTGGGGAGCTTCCAGGTCGGTGGACGCATCCACATATGAGGGTGACACACCCCAGCTCCCCAGGACAGAAGCTCCTGTCCTTCAAACCTCCCCCCCACCCATCTCACCCATGTTCATTTGGCTGCTCATCTGTATCCTTCATCAACTCCTCTAATAAACCGGTAAATGGGAGTGCTCTCCTGAGTTCTGTGAGCTGTTCCAGGAAATATCAAATCCAAGGGGGAGGAGGTCATGGGAACCTCCTATTTGTAGCCAAGTCGGACAGAAGTTGTGGGAACCTGGGGA